CAGCTCTCAGTTGATCATGTATACATTCACAATGCATAAGAATGAGGCACCTAATAGAATGACATGCAAAGTTCATCTCTCAACCTCACTGCATAATGTTACAATGCATGCAAAACAAATTCATCTCTCAACCTCAATGCTACTGCCTTCATTTCGAGCACTCTATTTCCTCTTTGGAGTGCTTGAAAGCTCTATGAAACTTGCACAAAACCATTCCGAGGCTACTGCTTGTATTTCGAGCACTCTAAGTCCATTTTCGAGTGCTCGAAATGTGAACCAATCTCATCCCAAGCTCACTGCCCTACCTTCGAGCTCTCTAGCTTTCATTTCGAGTGCTCGCCAATCCCACACAACCATGCAACCATTCTCCTCTCTGCCTGTATTTCGAGCACTGGAAGCAGGCATTTCGAGTGCTCGAAACCTGCTCGACTAACCAAACAACCTTCTGCAACAAAACAAGCATTAACCAACCATCCCAACAACCACCTTACTCCCCTTGCATGATCCCATCCCCACGACCTGCATGCATGCATGCAAGCCCCATGCATGCATGCACCTCCATCTTCCCTCATCTCCCACCATCCAACACCATCTCTCTGCAACACTCAACTACCATGCAAACCCAACCACCATCAACCCAGAAACCACACAACCACCTCAACTCCAACCCACAAACCTTTCCCCATGCATGGAATCATGCCACCATCCCCACAACCCAACTCTCGGCATCTCCCTCTCCTTCCGCAGCCACTGCCAGTTTTTCGAGCACTCGAAGTCCAACTTCGAGTGCTCGAACCCCCTCTCAACCTCACCCAAGCTCTCTCACTCAACAGCCGAGCCCTCTGCCAAAATTTCGAGCACCCCAAGCTCTTATTTGGAGTGCTTGAGATTGCTCAACCTCACCCCTAAACTCTCTCTCTCTCGGCAACCACCTCATGCCAACCTCGCAACCCAACCCCATCACTCCTCTCGGTTTGCACCAATCAACACCAACTCCACGACCAGCATCACCCTCTCTCTCAACCTCACACTCCACCTCCACATTCAACCAAACTAACTCACAAACTCAACCTTATCTCCTCTAACCCCAACCACCTCACCACCCCCATGCATGTCTTCCACGGCCACCCTCCCAACACAATCCCAACCATTCACATCAACACCATGCACACACCAACCAAACCGACCACCACCCCAACCTTCACCCTTCTCTCATTCACCAACCAACCCTCACACCAGCCTTCTCTCTCTCGGCACCTTCACTCCCTAACCACCCACCACCCTTCACACTCAATCAACCCCATCCTCAATTCCTCCACAACACCCTCATGCATGCCATTCAAAAAAAAAAAAAAAAACAAAAAAAAAAAAAAAAAAAATTTGGCACACTTTTGGTATTCTTTTGCTATCCATTTTACACTTGTGGCTAATGTCTGCATTTGTGTTTTGTTTGGATTTTTATCTTGCACTACAATTCAGGTTAGTGTTTTTAATTTTGTTTTAATTTTTCTTAAGAGCCTATGCTTTTACATGTGTATATTAGTTGTGTTTTGCTAGGTCTTCATGTCCAAGTTTGGGGGAAGCACTTGCATATTCACATAGATGGAAACCTTTGCCTTCCTCACTCCGCTTGGTATTATTGTTCTTTAACCCTCTCTGTTCTTATTTTCATTTACTTGTCTTCTCACATTGAGGACAATGTGACATTCAAGTTTGGGGGTGCATTTATGTATTTTTGGTTTTACATTTTTGCTAAGCAATGATAATGGAATTTGAAACCTGTTGGAGATGAAAGCATATGTTTAAAACTTTGTGCATAGAAGCTGCTGATATTTTTGAAAATAAAGAAAATTTGAGTTGAAATGATCATGTAGATTCAAATTAGTCTGTATAAATGTCTCAATTAAATTCTCGCTGGATTTGACACTCTTTTAAGCTTCACAATGCACAGATGCACATTGGAAACTTAACTGTGAGGCATGCAACTTGATTGACCTTGACCTTGCCCTAGTTAATCTGATTTGATGAACCTAATGGATGAATACTTTTGGCATGAATCTAAAAAAAAAAAAAAAAAAAAAAAAAAAAAAAAAAAAAAAAAAAAAACTGAGAAAGAAAGAAAATAATGATCAGTTGACGTTCGTAGCCTTTCCAACTCGAGTTATTAAGCCCTAGGAGTGTCTCTACACTTAGCACCCTAAAACCGTCTGGTTTGGGAGTTGTTGGCCTAACGCTTGCTACAGGGGTTGGTTAGAAAGCTTAAGGGACTTAAACATTGCACGGTCATTCAAAAAAAATAAACTGGTAATAAACATGGTTCGTTGGAGTTCGTAGCCTTTCCAACTTGAGCTATTAAGCCCTATGGAGTGTCTCTACACTTAACACCCTAAAGCCATCTGGTTTGGGAGTTGTTGGCCTAACGCTTGCTACATAGGTTGGTTAGAAAGCTTAAGGGACTTCAGCATTGCACAACCATTCTATGTTTCGCTTATGAGTTGCAATAAATTGTCAACAAGCAACAAAAGTTGTCTTGTAAATAAATTCATGCCTTAGGGACTTCATTTAAAAGGGAATTCAGTGATTTGAAAACTCGTGTCTTGGAATTGGAAAAGAAAGTAAAAGCCGCATGTTGAGAATCCAATCCACTTTCACTGAAGTTAGAGTTGATTTCCATTTAAGAGATGATAATTGAGTTATTTATATGGACTATGATGTTGATACATGCATGTTGAAATGTGTTTAGTATCAATGCTTCATATATGCAAGGTAGTCTTCCCAATGACCCTATCTCCAGGTCTTTTTCTGTTTCAAGTTATTTTTGAGCCATGTATATATTTAATTTTACCATGGATGATATTTTTATAGTAGCATGCCCATGGTTGTTTTTTCATTAAGTTTTTCATTGTAGTTTTGCTAAGGGACTAGCAAAATGTAAGTTTGGGGGTGTGATAAGCGCCGAATATTGTATATTTAAGCGCCCTAAATTGCATTAGTTAAGTCCGTTGTTTGTTTAATTAAGTAGATTATCTTCATTTGTGTGTATGTATATATTTTTAGGTCCATTTTCCAAAAAAGGAGCAAAATCAAGGCTTTGTGGAGTTTTGGCCATCAAAAGGCACAAGGCCGAATTTATGGCAGCAGTGGATCCTGAACTTTTCTGGCCATTTTGACCTCGAAAACTTGGGAACTGGACTTCCCTCATAACATGAAAGATTTAGATCTCTGAATCAGCTTTCCAAATCTTCAAACGGTTTGTCATTCGGAGCTTGGAGCAGAGAGTTATGGCCTTGTTACCAGAAGCGCGCAGAACTGCCTGGCAGCAATGAAATTCTGCCTTGATCTTCATTTTCGACCAACCATCCTCGAGAATTGGATCTCCACCAAAACATGAAATATTTATAGCTCTAAATTAGCTTTCTAAATCTTTAAACGGTTCATCATTCGGAGCTCGGAGCAGAGAGTTATGGCTGTTTAACCAAAGTAGGTCTGGGCAGAGCAAGTGAAGCATGGAGCTTTTTACACTAAATTCGAGTGCTCGAGGCCTTGCTTAGAGTGCTCGAATTTTGGGCAGAATGCCCTTCGGAAATGGCTCATTTCAGCCCACTTGCACCTTGGTTTCTTCATTTTGCTTTCCTCTTTAATGAAGTGGTTGGAGATGTTGGTTGGTGGCCTTTTGGTGGTAGATAAGAGGGATAAGAGCCACACAATATCATTAAGCTTCATTTTGGCAAGTTAGAGGAGAGAGAAGGGAGCAAGAAGGAGGAGTTCTTGAAGCTTCAAGGAGGGTGCACGAAAATGAAGATGAGGATCAAGTTTCTTCTTCAATCTAGGGCCACCATGGGTAACTAAACCCCCTTCTAGGGAGGTGATGAAGCCCTCTCTAGTAAGCATGTTCTAGCCTTAGTTTATTTTGGGGAAAATGATGTATATATGTGATTATTTCACAATCTAGAGTTACACTTGATGTAATGAACCTAATTTCTTATAAATGATTATGATGAATGTATTATCTTGTCTTAGATCATATTTTCTCATGATTGTATGCCTTGCATTTCTATAGTGACATTGAAAATGAGATTGTGAAATGGGTTTCTTGGCATGTTGTATGAGAATCTTGATATTCCATAGCTTAGGACCCTCCTTTGATGGACTATTCTTGACTCTTGACTTCATGTGCTCCTGTCATGTGATTAAAGGCTTGATAATCTCTAACTTAGTAAGCATGTCCAAGGCTACACACTAGTTTAGGTAGTTCAAACATGTGCATCTTTGATAGGTTATACTTGCCAATGATTTCATGAATTTCTTGAAGGAATGTAGCAATTTTGGTTGTAGCATTCCATGGTCACATATTTATGTTGTTTCCCCAATTTAGCTCTAATCTAGCATGTGTTTAGGGATGGAGCGGATTCATTTCCTTAGGTTTCTCTACTTGTATTATATCTCTTTACTTCCTAGCACATTACTATTTTATGCATTTTAAGTTCTAAGTTTAAGTGACAAACAAACAAAACCATCTATAAACCCCTTATCATTCTAAGAACAATTCTAGACACTTAGGTTGCCATAGACTAGCGCAGTCCCAGTGGTTCGACTTACCCGACCAATAGCCCTATTTTACAATGATTCGTGCTATTGCGAAGGTTGATGTTTAGTTGATCAACCGATCAATGTCTACAATGCTTTTACATATTATCATTTACCAAATTTCTATGCCAATCATTATGAAATTAATCCCGAAATCATTCAAATGTGTCCTTCATTTAGTGGTTTCCCGCATGAAAATCCTTACAAGCATTTGGATGAGTTTTTAGAGGTATGTTCCACCATAAAGATCACTGATTTTTTGAAAGAAGCCTTAAAGATGAAACTTTTCCCTTTGTCCCCCAGAGAAAAGGATAAGTATTGGTTCAACAATCTAGGGGCAAATACAATCACTTATTGGGCTCACATGCAACAAGAATTCTTATAAAAATACTTTCCCATGAGTAGGACCAATCAAATAAAAACGGCCATATTAGGATTCTCTCAAAATGATGGAGAGCCATTTCATGAGGCTTGGGAGAAATTGAATGATTGGTTAAGGAAGTGTCTTCATCATGACTTTCCAAAATGGCAACTTTTTCAATGTTTATATGAAAGCTTATCCGACATTCATAGATAAATGGCAGACGCTTCATGTGGAGGTACTTTCTTGCTTAAACATGAAAAAGACATTTGGACTTTCTTCGATAATTTGAGTGAAAACTCTATGCATCGTGTTTCTTCTACTTGTTCGGGTCGTGTATCAATGTTAGGGGGAAAGAAATCTGAAAATCTTTATCATGTTGATAAGTCTATTGAGGTAGCCGCGGAAGTTAAAAACCTTACACAAAGGTTTGACCAATCCTCTTCTCCCCAAATTCAAAATGAAACTTGCAAGATTTGCTCGAATCCATGTCATAATACTCAAATTTGTCCTGATAGACAATCAATATCAAATAAATCTCAAGAGCAAGTGAATGCCACATTCTCTCGCCCGGGTAACAATCATTTCTTTAACACCAACAACCCCGGGTGGAGAGATCATTCAAATTTTTCTCAGAGAAATTAAGGGGCGAATGCAAATCCTCCTTAAGGAAAGTATGTTCCACCTTATCTCCAAAATTGTCAGTCTCAATCATATCATCCACCATAATATTCTTATTACTAAAATATTGGTCAATTTTCAAATTAATATCATCAAGATAACGCTTTCAACTTATATTTAAATGTTCCTCAAGTACCTCAAAGGAATTCCGATTTTGAGGACAAGGTGTTGGCCACTTTGGGTAACCTTGAGGCAAATGCACAATTGCTCCATTCTCACTCCCAATCATTTGCGAAGCTTAAATTCCAAATTCAGCAAATTACAAATTCAATGAGTGCAAGAGATAAAAGGGAAGTTGCCTAGCCAACTCGAGCCAACCCAAAGACTCATTACATGGTGGAATCTAATCCCACCTCAGGATCTTCCACACATGAACAAGTTTAAGCCATCTCAACCTTGAGAAGTGGTAAGATCATTGGTAACAAAGTGAAAGAGATGCCAAGTAAGGATGGTGATCTGGTAAGAAATATTGAGAATCCATTGCCAAGTTTTCTATTCATTCCATGAACTATTTCATCTCATGAAAATGCAAAAGAAGGAAATCCATTGTTGTCATCATTGTCTCCACCTTTAGGTAAACCTTATGAGCCAAAAACTCCATTTCCTCAAGCTCTAAAGGGACTCTCCCTCGTGGGACAACAAACAGAGAAAATCAATGACATAATGAAAGTTTTCAAACAAGTTAAAATTACTCTTCCTCTTTTTGATGCCATTCCTAAAATCTCACCTTATGCCAAGTTCTTGAAGGACTTTGTTGTTATATTTTACTCGCAATAGAATGATTCCTTGCAGAATAGTGCTATAAAAAGATATGTTGAACCCACAGGGAGAAGAGATTTGTATTTTAGTCTTTAACTTTGTTCCATGGTTTACAGGGAACTTGGTTGGTAAGTTTATTGGTTGTCACGGTTTAACAAACTAGAATTAAAAACAAAATATGAATAAAAGCAACGTAAATAAATTGAGTGACCAAAGAGAGAGAAATCTTAGGGCTTTGACTTCACCACAACCATCATACTACAGTTAATTATACTACCTCTGCGAATTTAATAATGATATTTTCCAAAAGAATTGAACTTAATAACATTCGTCCAATTCGGATTTTAAAGAAAGATGTTTTACAAAATTAGCTAACTATAACCTATCTGCGGTTAGCGTGGATTATCCGCCTACCTACTCTAACTACTTTAACTATATTACAAACAATCCACCTTTCATAAGCATAGACTATGAAAACATTCTTTTGCAAAATACGTTAGAACACCATTATCTAGCCTCTATTCTTGTGTCCGGTAGGGCTCCGCCAGATACCGTACAACAAGGTAGGTTGAGAATAAAAAACAGACTATTACATCTAAGACAAGGTAGTAACAGTTTATAATCTATTAAAGCATGAAAATCACTTGAGTTGTCTCAAGTGCTCATAGTTATATAATCAAGAAAAATACATATATTAAAATTAATCCCAAAGTTAAAACAATTAAACCATAGTATTTAGGTTGGGTTACATCAGTGCCTTAAGATAAGAATTAGCTACTTATGACAAGGTTGGATATCATCTGTGTTGAGTTCATCACCTTTGTCACGGACGACACTTCTTTTCTCATGATCTTCACTTCTAAGGTTATAAAAACCCTAAAAGCCATCATACCTTCAGCCTTTTGAATACACCGTAAAAGAGATCAAAATTTTTGACTATTTCTATCAAGGCTTATGCCTTCTTTTATAGAAGAAAATAATATTTGGTGGGCTTTTAGGTCTTCTGGCCTAACTAGGATGAGATACGGCTGATAAAGAGAGCAATCCTGTATTTTGAATATGACATCTCATGGAAGGCTTGAGCTTCAGGAACACAAGCTCGAGCTTTAAGGTGCAGGCTCAAGCTTCAAGAACAAGGCTTGAGCCTTTCTGAATGGATGCTCGAGCTTCAATGAATGGTATTCGACTTCACTTTGACATTTAGCCAGTTTTCTTCAACTATTTTTCGAAGCGTCTTTTTCTTCAACACTTAGAATATTTCTGGGATTGGATTCTTTTAACATTGCTCGATCCAAGCTTCTTGGGATCGAGCACTAGGTACAAGGCTCGAGCATTTGGGACACCAAGCTCGAGCTTCAGGACACTTGGCTCGAGCTTCTGTTGTTAGTGCTCGATCCTTGATGAATGGTGCTTGATCCTGGAGATGAGGCACGAGACCTGGGAGCATAGCCTTGCAATTAAATCAACTTTTTAATTTCTGATGCCTCATGCTCGAGCTTGAGGGTCAAGGCTCGAGCACCCTTGGTTAAGGCTCGAGCATCCTTATGGTAAGGCTCGAGCTTCAAGGTATGAGGCTCGAGCTTTTAGGCCTTGTTGACTTTTCTTCTTTCTTTGTTGTGATGCTCGAGCCTCAACACTTAGGATCGGGCTCTAAGGCTTGAATATCTTCAAACTTTGCCATTTAAGCTCTTAGTTTGCTCTGAATGATCGGCAACAACCCTGTAAGCTTCGATATCATCATAAAGTCCAGGTTTTAACCATTTCTCTGGGAAAGTACCTACAAACACACATTAAACATAAATTAGTCTAATTATAGATAAAAGTATCACTTTAGGCCTTAACAGATTTGGATTTAGGGGCTCGAATATGCATATATTGTGCGCTCATCACACCCTTAAACTTACATATTGCTAGTCCCTTAGTAATACAGAACTAAAAAGCCGCTTTCGTGGGAATCACGGTTGTATTCAGCCTATGCAACAAGCCTTTAAACCCTTAGGTTACCCCTAGTGGATGAGTTGTAGTCTCGTGAGGGTTTTTAGTGAAGATACCCACAAACTTCTTAAGTCAGTGCCTTATTACACATCAAGCTAGTGCAAGCCTGCTTTCAAATCATATTATCCCTACAGTTCATTAATCAGTCAAATATAGCAAGTATACCAATCATGTAATTAGAACCACTTTCAACTTTCAATTTCAATTAAGCAACCATAGTCCCTACATATCATTTTAATCATTTATTCAATAATCTTAATCTCTAAAACACTTCCTGATAGTAATCCTACAATTCAACGTGTGGCTGACTATCCATACTTGCCTTCATTCCTTGTTATTCCTCAATTCATAGGCAAACTTTTCAAATTTCAACTCCCAAGGTATTTTATTTATTTTTTTCATAGGTATGCATTTTTTCAAAAAGGATATGTGCAATGTTCAGGTCTATTAAGCTTTCTAAATCACCATTGTAATGAACTTTCAACCAACGACTCCCAGACCAGATGATCTTAGGGCGTTAAGTGTTGAAACACCCTAAAGGACTTAATTGTTTAAGTAATCTAGGCAACTTAAACCCCTTATGTAACAAGCTTTTAGCCAATGACTCCCAAACCAGACGATCTTAGGGCATTAGGTGTCAGAATACACCCCTAAGGACTTAATCACTCAAGCAATCTAAGTACAAACCTGAACTTGATCCTTTTCTACTTTTTTTCATTATTCATCATTTTTTTCATTTTTTTTCTTCATTCACTTTGATGTAGAATTCTTGCATACATACCCAATTTTTTCTGTTTGTTTTCTTTTCTTTATATGCCTTGGTCATCAAAACTATCAAGTCTACCTGATCATCTCAGTTTTAATCAAAACAAAATAAAACTTCCAATTTCTACCCCACAGAATTCATGCAAGTGTGAATATGTGCAACGTGTAGCATCTTAGAGATCAAAATCCTTAAACAATAATCATTCTAACAATGTGGGTCACAAGCCACCAACCGATTTCAAAAAATTTTAAGGAATCCTTTTCATAAGTTTTTTTTAGCATACAAACCATTTCTAACCAACATTAAACTACAAACAGAGTATATAACCATCAACAGACTCAAACACATGCCTATATCACAAATTATCAGAACATAACCTCGTGTAAAACAAAAAATTAAAAAAAGTTAAATTCCCAACAACCTTACCCCCAAACTTATTGTGCATATTGTCCTCAATGTGTGAGAACAAAAGAGAGATAGAAAGATATTATCATACAAGCAGATCAGCAAAGATATGATAAAATAATGCAAAGACTGGTAAAAAGAATTTCTAGCATCTCCTTCTTCAACATAGTGATTCCTTAAAACCAACCAAGGATGCTGTCAGTCAAATCACCCCCAAACTTAATCTGTTGTATCTGACAAAATTAATAAACTCCAACACACATCAGAGTATCAAGTATATGGAGTAAGCATATAGAAATATCACAGTGAACTAAAATATCAACACAAGGAAATAGAACAAAAAATATGTATATATATATCTCTGAAATCAGTACAATGCTTTTGAAATAAAGACTTAGGGCAGATATACATCATATAGAAATAAATACATCATAAAGAATTGCCCTAGTCAACAAAAAATATAGAAAAGTCCTAAGACCTAATCCATAAGTGGTGGTGGTGGAACAGAAGAAGAAGATAGAGCGGACGGAGTGTGGCGTAGTAACTCCTCCA